AACTTAAAATAATACTTAACGATATAACTAAAGCAATCTTCTTTCTCCTGAGCGAGAGCGCTTCTCTTCTTTTTAAACTGAACAGTTGCATCATCGATGACGTAAGCATAATCTGGCTCGGAAGGTAAAATATGCCATATGAGTGCAGGCTGAGGGCGAGAGGGGACTATTGCACACAGGTACAGTTCAAGACAACCGTGCCCAGCGTGAGTACACCCTAAAATTAGGCATGTAGAATAAGATCATGTGTTATAGCTACTAATATACAATTAATATTTTAATAATAGGTAGGTAACAAGCCAGTGGTAAATAGCATGAATTGTAACTTAAAAATCTTCAAAAACAATAAAATAAAATAAAATAAAATAAAATAAAATAAAATAAAATAAAATAAAATAAAATAAAATAAAATAAAATAAAATGAAATAAAATAGAATAAAATAAAATAAAATAAAATAAAATTAAATAAAATTAAAACAATTAAATAAAGCATTTTTCCCCCCACTAATCATTTACCATTTAACCTTTACAGTACATCACTCCCATAATGAACGCAAAGCAACATGAGGGGGTAAGAGCTATAGGAAAATGCTAATTAATTCAAGTTTCCGAATAAATAGCTCATGTGTCCCGGTGCAGATACTGACCTGCTGCGCTCACCATGTACTTCCACTTGAGCACATACGCGTCTCCCTCATGAAACTGACCGATGCTCTGCTTGGGCAGACGACTGTAGTCAAACTCCAGGATGTGCCAGACGTCCACGCTGACCGTGCTGATCTCCAGCGAGCGCAGGCAGTCGTCTGAGCTGTTCTCTACTGGCCCGTGCCCTCGACCCACATCCTGGCCATCCAGAATAGTGCTGATGGGCGACTGCAGAACGGGCAGCATCAGAGAGGCGCTGTACGCCCGGCACTCAGAGCCACAGTCTGCAGGCGGACACTCCTGACAGCAAAGAGACACGCAGCTGAAGTCAGATTTATTAGCCCTTCTGTATATTATTCTCCCCAATTTCTGTTTAACGGAGAGAACATTTTTTTCAACACATTTATAAACATAATAGTTTTATTAACTCATCTCTAATAACTGATTTATTTTATCTTTGCCATGATGACAGTACATAATATTTGACTAGATATTTTTGAAGATACTAGTATTCAGCTGAAAGTGACATTTAAAGGCTTAACTAGGTTAATTTATTTAAATTTTCTGCATAGTTCTGTAGACAATTGAAATAAAATATTGCTTGAGAGGGCTAATAATATTAATCTTAAATTTTTTTTTTTTGTTTATTTATTTATTTATTTTTACGCTAAAAAACACTTTCGTTCTAGATGAAATAAAAACTTTCTCTAGAAGAAAAATATTATTGGAAATACTGTGAAAATTGACTTGCTCTGTTTAATATAATTTGGGAAATATTTAAAAACAAATAAAATCAATTAAACAAACAAAAACAAACCACAGGAGGGCTAATAATATTGACTTTTCTGTATAAAGTGGAAGAAAAAAAACATCAATCGTTTGATCCAGAATTCTACACTGTATTTGTACCAAAGTACTGCATATCTGTAGTGTATAGATAATACAATTGGTTTGAAACTTGGCACAAAGAATCAAATTTAAAATCCTTCTTTTTGTGTATAAAGCGCTACATGGTCTAGGCCAGGTGTGGGCAAACTTGATCCTGGAGGGCCAGTGTCCTGCATAGTTTAGCTCCAACCCTATTCAAACAGACCTCCCTATAGAGTTCAAGTGATCTTGAAGACACTGATTAGTTTGTTCAGGTGTGTTTGACTAGTGTTGGAACAAAACTCTGCAGGGACACCGGCCCTCGAGGATCAAGTTTGCCCATCCCTGGTCTAGGCTCTCATTATTTATCCTAACTGATTGTTAATTACACTTCTCCAAGACACTTGCGTCTAGGCACAAAGGCTTCGTCGCTGCCTGTTTTTAAGTCTAAATTAAAGACGCATTTATTTTCTAGATCTTTTGAAGCATAAGTTCCCCCCTTATTTTGCTCTCTTATTGATATACTCTCTGTGTTCTTTCTTATTACGTGCCTATTGCTGTCACTGTTTTTATGCTCATTTCATGTGTTTATTTTCTCCCTTTAAAGCACTTTGTGCAGCCTTGTGGCAGTATCTGCCTTATGGGACAGGCTTACTGGAAGTAGTACATTTTGCCAGCTGTTTCCTGAATACTATGAATTTGGACATACTTGGATCACATTCTGTTTTTTTTTTTGTCTATTAAATAGAGGGTATTTTCAGACAGGTATGTTTTTACTGCAATACATTGTTATATATTTAAAAATGTTCAGTATTTTGCTACATTTACTACTATTCCAAACTTCCTGGTAAGAGTATATAGTATAATAGTTCATAAATTAAGTATTATGAAAATATACTCGTTTGCTTGCTTGCAATTTACATTTTATTTGAATAAAAGGAAAGGTTTTAGCAAATTTAAGTAACGTTAATATTATATCTACAAACAAAATACTGAATTCAGAGAACATGCAAAAAACAATACCATACCAAAATTTGGGGTCAGCGCAATTTAAAAAAAGTTAACATTGCTTTAATTTAATTAAAAAATATATATCCATAAATAAATAAATAATATAATATTGTTTAAATACAGTTTTTGCCTACAATTTAGTGAAAGAAAAAAGGCATTTGCAGACACATGGATGTTTTTACTATAACAAATACATTGGTGTATATTTTAATATGTTTAGCATTTCTGCTTAGTTTGTATATTTTTTATTTTTACTGCATGTTTACTACTAATACAAACTTTTTGGGAGGGATACACAGGCTTTAAATAATTCATGAATTACATTTTATGAGAACATACTTGTTTACTTTTTTTTTTTTAATAAAAAGAAAGGTATTAGCAAATTTAACAAAAAATGAATAGCACATCTTCAAACATAAAATTGAATTCAGAGCATACAATACTATACAAAGCCAAAAGTTTGGGGTCAGTGCATTTTAAAATACAATTAAATTAAATAAAAAAACAAGTTACAAATTCAATACCAAAACAAATACATGTACATAAATAAATGAAAGCAAAATAAACAAACATTTAAATAAATAGATAACAAGGTTACAAAATATCTAGCAAAATTTTTGTTTGATAAAATTCACAAATGTCTTGAGTGGCACAACTGTTTTCATCATTTAAAATAATAATAATGATAATAATAATAGTTTTCTTGAGCAGCAAATCAGCATATTTAAATGACTTCTGAAACATCATGTGAAAAATAAAAATAAAAACTTTAAAAGCAGTTTTATCAATATAGATTTTTTTTTTTACAGAGAAACATTTTACACACACAGAAACCCACCACCTTCTGCTGGAAAGGGTGTTCGATGACATTTTTAGGTGACAGTCTAGAAGGATCTCTCCAGTCCAGGAACTTCTCTTTAACAGACTCGTTTCATTATGTTCAGTCAGTCT